TAACTTTAAAACAAAACATTGTGTGTTGTTCAACAGAAGAAAAACTGAAACCAAAAAAAAAGAGTGAATCAAACATAAACGAAAAATATACGCAAACAAAGAAGAAGAAAAAACACTTGTATCTAACAATGTAATGTGAAGATACTTTTTACATTTTATACTTGAACAGATCAGATACATATTTAGTTAGTTGCACAAAGTCATATACATTTGTATTAGTACATTATATACATACATACGTACATACTGCTCGTAAAAGACATTCATGCACTTTTCATCAATACAATGTATGTAGCATGTGGCACGTTTGTTTGTGCGACGACAAATGTATGTATCCATGATGCATGTGCACTACGGATTCACCATTTAAAACCGGTTGAGTTTGTAATGTGCCATATTTATTTATATTGTTATTGCTGTATTATTTACTTATTTTTTTTTTTTTTTTGCAAATGGTCGGGAGGTTGGGACTGGGTGGATGGTAATCCATGTTTGCTTACAACAAAAGCACAAATACAATTGTTAAATAAAATGTAACAATTTAGTTGTTTTTGTATGCATATGTATATGTATGTATGTAAGTAGAACAGGAACAGGTCTCTCTATTTTTTGAATTTATTAAAATACCTTCTTTGCTAAAATTTTAGTTTTCTGTGTTGTGTTGTGTTAAGGTTTAAAGCCCAACAAAATATTTGTGTAGTTCAAGATTTCTGAGTTATTTATCATAGTTTATGAAATTTTTAATTTTTTTACTTTTGTTGTTGTTCAAAAAATGTAACTGAAACTTTAGAAGATTTAAAACCATTTCCTTGTTACCACATTTTATTCAAAACAAAAGCCTATTCATCTATTAAAGTCCGAAACATTTATTTAGGAAATAATATATAATTCATTATCACCCAGTAAAAATAAAACAAAGTACTTCTAAAAGAATAACTATCACCACTTCAGAAGTAGCACTAAGTGATTTGTTTTTACCTTTTGTGGAAGTGAAGTTTAATAACTTCCGAAGAAGCGAAAATAATTCGATTTTTTCAATGCCAAAGATATATTTTTTGTTCTTTCATTTTTATGAGATAAAAAAAGTTATTTTTGGACTACTTCTTAAGAATGACTTCAGAAGTAGTGAATTTGGAATCAAATAAAGAGGATATCCCTCCTATGACAAGCATTTGTTAAAATTATCACTTATTCAGGTATTTTTCAGTACTTCAATGCAGTAAATTCTACTTCTTTTTCGCTTCTTTGGAAGTTCTTTTTTTTGCTAGGCATAACTACATATTTAGGTAGATTAAACGCATTTTTCTGCAGTTTTAAATTTTTATATTTTGGAACTTACTTATTATTGAATATTTGAAATAAACACAATTAGTTAAAAGTTCAATATAAATATTTTGAATATTTTATTTTAATCTTTAGTAAAATAGATAGATGTATCCCATTATCGACATCGTCATACTTGTATTTATTAATTTTGTTTAAGACAAATAAACAAAAAAAAAAAAAAAAAAAACATTTTAAAAATCATACCAGTTGAACTGGTTCCAGTAGCATTCAGAATCTGTAGCAGCAACAGCGGAGATCAACAATCACAATAGCAGAAAATAAAGGTATAGCAGCAATTGGTTGTTGTTTCGTTTTTGTTGTCAATTTTATTGCTGTTGTTGTTTTAACAGTAAACAGCAACAGCAAAACAGCTGTTCTTGGTAATTTTCTGTTGTATTGTCTCAAATTTCCATTTTTTCTTATTTTTTTTATTTTTTGTATTGTAATATAATTGTTGTTGTTATTTTTTTAAACTTTATATCGTATTTTATTTGTATTATGAGTGTATGTATGTGTGCAAATTATATTGATACAAAATTCATTTATTTCAAAAGTGTCATAACTGAATCCAAAATTAAAAAATAATAATTATAATAGGAATTAAAATATTTGAAGCTCCTTTTCTCTATACCATGATTTTTCAGTTAGTACACTATTAAAGTCAATGAGTAATACAAGTAGTCTGTTTTAAAATTGACATTATTGAATTGTATTCTTTTACATGTCTCTGCACATTTGAGGTTTTTGGTTTTATTTTTTTCTGAATTTCTAAAATTTATTCAGGTTTTCTTGTGTGTGCGTTTTTTATGGTAAATAGTAAAACATTTATATAAAAATAAAAAAGTAATAACTTTACACAATTTAAAAACAAAGCAAGTTTTCAAGATTTACTAGCTTTCAATTGAATATGTTTATTCTTAAAAGTAACCAATTCATTTTATACATATTTTCACTTTTATTTTGTTGTTTCATTTATTTATATGATTATTATGGTAATATTTATTTTTTATTTTGACATTGACATTTGCCTGACAATATATTCATTCATTCGATATAAGCAAAATGTGCAGAAGTATGGGGATATCTGTGAATTTGTTTATTTGTTTTACTGGTCGCTGGTGTTTCATTTATAAGATTCTTTATTCATTTATTTTATATTATCTCTGCAAAGACTCTTTTAAGACAACAGTACTCTGAGTTTTTTGTTAAGCAAAATTTTGTGTGTCATTGCTGCATAATTCATTCGGCTTAACCATGGCAAGAACTTACATGATGAAAACAAATGAGAAAAACAAATGGAAGAGAGAGGGAATCGGGCATTGAATATATTGTAATTATTACTTTAATTATAACGGATACCATATCTCAAGATAAAGTTTTCGAGAGATGAGATTATGAGATCTAATATCAATCTATGGACTAATTTGGAACGGTAATATTTTGTTCTTTAGAAGTGCATACCAAATTTGATTAAGATTTAGCATTTCTCAAATTTTTTACAATCAAAAATAATGAAATCATTTAATAACGCAAACATTGAGATTTCTTAAATTTCAGACCTAAAAACTAAAAAGACTACACTCTCTTAGATAAATAATGTAAAATATGTTCAAAATTATTGTTGTCAACCACCAGAAATCAATTAACAACGCTCGCACACCTACTTTCAACCAAAAAAAAAAAAAAAACGTTTACAGCATTACCGTCATTATTATTGCCATCAATTAAATGAAATTAACAAAATAATTATTAATTGCACCAATTTAATAAAACACTTAACACGGTTTTGTTTTCAAATAATAAAATATTTATTATGTCACAATATCTCATCTTAACGTACACATGTACATACATATGTACGTACGGTACATTCACTCATTCATTCGGTCACTCAGTCAGTCAGTCAGTCATTCACACCTACAAAATGCTGTTGATGACGTTTTTACTGAAACTACGAGAAATAATGACAAATTTTCAAAAGTATGTGTTTGTAGTCAGTCATCTTAGCAAGAGGATTTTTAAATTTGCAATAACAAGATGCTGACAAAAAAAAAGTAGAAGAAAAACAAATCAAATATTTATAAACAAAAACTTGTTTTTTTATTAAAACATTATTAATTATTATGAATAGTTTATTTATTTTGCTTTTGGAGCTTGCATATATATGTACTGTTTCAAAGGACCAGGTTAACTACTGGCGGCTTTTTTGTTAATTTCTTTCAAAGTGCATATTTTGATTTAAAGTACTAGAGGTCCCCCAAATTTGGACATGAAACATTTAATACAATCCCAATTCATTGTTTCTGGTCTGATTTAAGAGATATACATACATATAGTATTAGAGTTTACTAGGTTTCGGAGCTAAGTACATATACGTATATCACTTCTAATATTTAACGAGATATTCGCATTGGAAAATAAAAATTTCAAGGTTTATCAAATCAAAAATTAAGACAGATTACTCTATCTATAACAAATTCTAAATGTAAGTTGAAAAAATATATATAAAAATATGTTTATACAATATCCATCCCATTTGGCGCCATCCTAATGAACCAATATACATATATGTACATAAATATTTGTATGAATTTGCTAGGTGTGAGTTGTACAAAAATACATATGTTAAAAAAAAGACACAATCTCATCAATTATGTCGAATTTATACAAATTCAATATTTATACAATTTTAAAATGAAATGCAACCTTGATATTAACGAAAATTCAAATTGCGTTGGTATCATTTAAATTGCCATTTAACGTGTTACTTTTTTCTAATTGTCAACAAAATACATACTTACTACATACATACACATTTGAACAAAAAAAAAATAGCGAATCGTTAAAATAGTTAACAAAAAAACAAACAATACAATGACAAAGTGGAAAAGCATAAAATTATCATAAAAATTGTTGTAAAACGTTCAAACAAAAGACTGATCAAACCAGCAAAAACAACATGAATGAACAGTGATCATACGTTGAAATAAATTGTAATAAAAAAGTGTGGGACTTAAAATTTGCTTCTTTTTGATTTTATTTTTTGTAAAAACAAATCAAAATAAAAATATTTATAAAATTGATTTTGGATTTTTTTGCAAAAATTTGCGTCATTTACAACAACTGAATACACACTTGCAGCCACAAACACACATTTATTTATTACATTATTTTTGTCGAAATATACTTCATTCATTCGTTCATTCATTGAGTACATACATACATTTCTTATAGCTATTTTATTTTATTATTTTTGCATGTAAATTAGACCGCTTCATAGATCATGCAAAAAAATCGTGTTTGAAGTCACCTTTTAAATAAGTAAAATTTCATTAAGTTTTTTAACACCATTTCAAATATTTTTTATTCTAAATGGCTTTACAAATTGTTAGTGGAAAATTATGTAAAATAATAAATAAGGGAATATTTGTTAAATTTAGCTAAAACTATATTCAAATAATCCTTAAATGACTATTTTAAGAAATCAATTTAAAATTAATTAAAAGAATTTTTTGCATTACATAACATTTAATGAATTTATATGAAAGAAGACACAAATTTATTTGAATCAACAGAAACATTGGTAAACTGCGTTCATATTAATTTTGTTAGACACAACTAAATACATTATTTCTCTTACTTTCCCCTCCCCCTTTCTTTTTCGAAACATTCAGTTTAATTAATAAAGCTCTTCAACACCTTCTCTGCTTGCTTTGCTTACAAGCTGACGAGAGAGAGAGAGAGAGAGATAGAGTACCTGCTGATGAAAAGAAAAATCAACAAAGAACATTAAATTATAAACCTCAATCAACAATTCATAAGACTGTCAAATGAACTTGCCTCCCTTAATACCCCGTTCCACGACCTCAGATAATAAACGTAATATTAATAATTTTAATAACAACGATAAAATTAACTTGTATTTATTGGTTTGAGAAAAAGAAAACCAGAAACAAAGAAACACAAACAATATGGCAACAATGCCAGTCGTTTGGTGCACTGATCCCAATTCGGTCAACAATAAACCCACAGCGTTTGCTCTACACGGCATTCAGTTACAGGGTAATGTCACCGAGAAACAAGTCTTAGCTTTACGGGAATTGGTTAATGCAGCTGCCGAGGGCCGCTTAATCCTTCCTTCAGATGGCACATTTATGCTTCTGGATAGTGGTATAAGCATTGAAAGTTCTATTGTCAATAATGGTAGTGTTGCTACTACCCCTACAACAACATCAACAACAGCAGCTACATCATCAGCAACCACAACAACATCGACATCTTCAATGCTAATGGATGGCATTGGCAACAAAGAAAATATTGATCAAAATCATCGGGAAAAAACCCAAGGGATCAATACAAACTGTGGCAGTACTCACAGTGCACAACGACATTTGAAAAATACTTATATTCTAATGCCTGTTACAACAACGGCCCAGAAAAATGCCATCGCCAACTTGCCAACATTAACGCCACCCACATCAATGTCTACCACACCCACATTCGAGTTGGAAGGACCACCAACATTCGAATTAGAACCAAAATATTCGACTTTCACGCCTCCACCGTCAACAACCGAAGATGACGATGTTCTCTATGAATTTTTGTGTTGCGCAAAATGCATGAACGATCCTAATACTTCGCGTTGCTCCAGAAGGACTCCAACAGTATCACAGCAACGAAAGTCGCAATCACAACAAATGTTACAGCGTTTGTTAAAGTCATGTGAACGTTCTTCCTCGACTCGGCAGGGGGCTGGTGGAGGAGAACCTCATACTGTGTCTGTTCGTGGCTGCAATAATGGCAAAGTCAACGAACCGCATCAGCTGTACGATCCGACATACAATATTGCCAATAAGTACACGCGTCGATATCAACGCAAACACTGCAATATGTCGGCCGCCACTATTGCACGTAATCGTCATCACAATCATCGTCACAAATTACCGATGCAAAGTGTTAAAATCTTTCACAATCGCAACCACGCGTGCAGTAATGGAGGTGGAGGTAATAGTGCTGGTAGTTGTGGTAGTGGTGCCAGTATTAGCGCTAGTGCCAGTGGCAATGGCGATTTCGGCGGTGGTTTTTTAACAATATCCACCACAACAACCACCACTACTACTACTACGACGAGCGGTGTTATTAGTAATGGAAACATTAACGGTAACAGTAACAGTTGCTGTAGCGGCAATAGTATTAGTGACAGTTGTGGTAAAACAGCAACAGTTATGACAAACATACCATTAGTAGTCAATCAGCTATCGTCGTTAACGCCTGCACTACAGCTGCCTCTGTATGCAACGGTTAATAAAACTAACGGTAAAACCAAAATGACGATGGAATTGAGTGCGTCCAAAAAACCCACCTCCGAAAAGGTGGTTACGGTTAGCGCAATCGTTCATGAACCTCCGCTAAGTAAAACAACCGATCAGCGTAAGAATCTCCCAGATGCAGCTGAACACACGGTACGCCAGCGAAAGCTGGGTGCCGTCCAAGGCGGCCTACAAGATACAGTTCAAATTGAACTGGACAGTTTCGTTCAGAAATTACAAAACTCCCACGATCAGCAAATAAACTGTGATATTGTAATGGACACTTTACCAGTGGTAAAGGATTTAATAAGTTTCGATGACGATGAAGATTCCGACAAGAATTTAATGTCCAATACTTGTGATAACAATAGTCAAATTGTAGATTTACTCTCACAACCTAATGTCGATTTACCTACCGTAGAAGAGGAAGAACCGGAAGTAGGTGAAGATTTGGTAGAAAACTTACCTACAAATAAATCTCCTCCTCCAGTACGCAGTAATGCATCCAGTCGAAAGACTAGTTTCGATTCGACATGCACCATTAGTTCAATGGATTCTGGCTTTATTGAAATGCAAAATAAATTAGAAAATCCACAACAACCATCGTCGACTAACCGTCCAACATTGGCTAGCATTTTTACTGGTCTCGCTTTGGCTAATTCCTCAAATGCGTCGACACGCGAGACTAGAGGTCATGCCCAAGGAGGTGAAAAGATTGCTCGTCTCAACTATAAGGAGTGTTTAACACAGTCGCGCAATCGTCGTAAATCTTATGAAGAATTTAAAGCCATGTTTGCCAACTCAAGCTCCAACTTGGAAACGTCAACTACGACATCGTCATCGCCATCGCCATCATCATTTCCAGTAGACACTGGTACCGCAAATGAAAATAAAATACAAATAAGACGCAAAACCTTTCAAGATCTTAGAAAATCATACGACAAAGACATGCAATGTGATTCTGTTCACCAGCAATCGTTCGCAACTAGTAACCTGCAACAACAACAGCAAAAGAACCAAACGGAAATATTAACAACAGCAGCAACAACACCAACAATATTAAACGGCTTAGAATCAATCACAGAACAAGAATGTACGACAACAACGTCTCCAACGGCTATACCAGCTTCTGATACAATGACGTTAGATATAGACAACAGAGTTGGACTAACAACACTTGTAGATTTAAACGCTGCTGTTGACGTTAGTTGTCGTAGTGTTGGTGGCGTTGTTGATGTTAATGATGTTGGTGCTGGTGCTGGCGTTGTTGGCAGTAGTAATAAACCGGCTTTTCCAAACGAGTTTGCTGTTAAGACCGTACCAGGTACTACACATGAAATGGATACTGCTACAACACAGTGTGGTGGTAATGATGGTGTTGTTGATAATAATGATAATGACAAAACTAATACATGTTGTAGTCTAGCTTTAAACACAAATAGCAACTGTGAGTGTAATAACAACATCGATTGTAGTCACACCATCAACGCTGCCACCACAGATATTTTACGTAAAAATTCTGATTTTCTATCGAAAATTCTCGATCGTCAGTTACTAACTAAAGAGAAGGAAAAAGCACACATGCGTCGTAAATCTTATGAAGAATTTAAGCGTCTGGTGCGCGAATGTGAGATGGGTACTGATAAGCCATCTGTTGCAAGTACAGATGCTGCCGTCTCCGCAACTACACCATTTAAACGACAAAACTCAAAGCATCGCAAAAGTTATGCTTCATTTCTCTTGATGCGCCGAAATTCAAATTCGAAAGATCAAAACACTGAACGTATTAAAAAATCAATAACTTCTTCGATCGAAACTAAGAACGATACGAACAAAGTGAAATTGGAATTGCAGCAAGTTACCGGACAAATGCCAGAATCCAATGGTAATAGCAATTACCGACACAATTTCAAAATCTACGATAAGCTTGTATACGGCACCATCTACGATATAATCCAACGTAAAAACGATATTTACAATTTGACATGTCAACGATACGACAAATACATGACTTATGGCACCATCTATGAAATACTACATCGCAAATCATCCCAGCCGTCACCGCTTACCACTTCCAATAGCTACAGCGGCTGCAATAGCGAAAAACTGTTTCAGAGAAAAAGCTTGTCTGCTATATTGGAAAGGGACTTTGCCACTGATAAATGTAATAAGAAAGATTTGGAAAAAATTAAGAAATCTGGCATGATTTATGACATTATACAAAAACAGCATCAGCAACATCAACAATTGGAGATGAACACAACAATTAAGGACACAGCTAACATACAAGAAGTTGTCGATAAGAATCTGGTAACAAATATGGCGACAACAACGTCAGTTCCAACAATTGATGCTAATGTTGCTGTTGCTGACAAAGAGAATGTTTTAACTGTTGTGACCACAAATGTTGGCTACAAATATGGCACCATATATGACATCTTACAAGGAGAGAAATTAGATGCCAATGGCGAAGCTGCAACCATAACAACACAACAAAATCAACAGCAGCAGCCACTAAAATGTCTTGTTAATAATCGTTTTGTTGTCAGTAGAATCGACGAACCATTGAAGGTGACTGACGCGAAGACGAACAAAGTACAGCATACGGCGGAGCAGGATGAAGAGAAAGGAGTGGATACTAAAAATGTGCTGCTTAAAGCTACAAAACCAAATAAAATGAGAAGACTGTCTAATATGTTAAACTATAAAGGAGGCGATGCAAAATCATCGTCAACATCTGCATCAACGGATAAACCGAATACAAACTCGGAACATTTAGAAAACATGAAAGAACCATCCAAAGAGTTAATATTACATTCAAACCTAATACCAGTCGACAGTGAGGAATTATATTCGAGAATTGTTGCTAAAAATCGTGAAAATGCCGGTGCAGTTTCAAGAAGTCCCATACAAAAGTCAAACTCCCTTGATGCAATTTCAACATCGGTAATAATATCTCCACCGGCCTCACCCTCCCCACCACGACCTCGTCGTAGCCTTAAGCAACACAATTGCTTGCTGCGCGATCAACAGAAACCAAAACAACTGCAATTGATTAAAAAACTATCGCTTGATAACTCAACCAGTCACACAACAACTAAAGATAAAGAGGTCAAACTTCGACGTTGGTCGAATCAAATACCCCTTAAATGTAACTGTGATTTTACGTTTTCAACGAACAGCAATGAAAATTCCCCCCTAACAAATCGGGATTTATGCAATTCCTGGGAGTTATCTATCAAAATGACTTCGAATTGCTCCTGCAATGAAGCGTTCTCTTCAAATCCAAATGCTTCAAAATCCCAATTCCATGCCACTATTGCTGCAAGCAACAACAATAATAACAGTAACAGCAGTAATAATAATAATAATAATGGCAGTAGTGTCATTGAAACATTTAATGCCGAATTGTCATCTAATAACAAATTCTTCTCCCCCTCCTCATCCGCCCAGTTGGTGTGCAATACGTGCTCAATTCATTCAGACACAAAGTGCCTGTGTTTGGCAAGCAGAAATACCACAAACTTAATAACAACAACAACAACAACGTCTACTACAACGTCAGCTGCGACGTCTAATGGTAGCAATAGCAAAACTTCGGCCAAGAAAGGTAAATCACGGCGGCTATCGGAATTTACGCGGGGAGAATTTTTAAATGAAAAACCGTAAGTGATTTTGTTTGTTTAAATTATTTTTATTTTATTTGTTTATTAATTTCTTTGTTTTATTTTTGTTTGGTTGGTTAATAAAGTTGTATTTGCATTTTCGTTTCATTCACTAAACTTTTGAACATTGGTCTGCGTTAACGTTTACCTTTACCCCGTCTTCGTCTCTCAATTCAATTAATGTTGAGGGGCAACAACAAGAAATTGATGTGAAGAAGTGATTGCGTTGAGTTGTGGATTGATAGAAAAAATATTTCATTTTAACGCCCCGCAAACTCTTCAACCAGCACACTTCCTCACTTATATTTATTTATTTTTTTTTATTAATAATATTTTCATTTATATTAATCGTAATGAAAGTGCGAGTTTATTTTCTACATAAACAGCTATCAGTGGTCGGGCATTGCCTAATAGGAATGGATATTAAGGGAAACGTATGAGTATATTTAAGTTTTATGTTACCCATATTATCTTTAAATGGTTATTCTGTTTTTGTGACTAATTGTTATAGTTATATTTGGAGAACCAAAAAAGAAATCGAAAGTTAAAAATCATATAAGGCAAATAGTTCTTGTCAGGAAAGGGGACATAAAGAAATGTTTGCGAATATTTTCTTTTTGTATTGATTAATTAATTGCAATTGTTGTTACTGATTTTGATTAGCTTTTTACTTAGAATGAATCTTTGAGCTTAAAATTATCTAGATCTTTTATTTATACCATTGCCTTTTCCAACTGCGGTAGCAGTTTCAGATTTACGTTTGCGACATTTCAGAATTTCAATATTTCCTACTCGATCCAAGTTTTCTGTTTTAAGCAAGAAATTTATTTTACTATTTAAAATTATAAAAATTGTTACATTCGGTTTTAGTCGAACATGTACTTTTTTGTACACTTTTCTATGTATTTTAAGAAAAACTCTATTCTGAAGTTCATACAATTAATGAGTATTAAACTACTATAGATCTTCTTTTGACGATCACTGTATGTTACAATTTATGAATTTAATTTTCGCTTCAATATTTTTCTTATTTATACCATAAATAAAAATTAATATGCACTAACTACACTTGGCTTTAGGAATCAATGTTAATTCAAAACACCATTTTTAATATAATTTCAATCAGTTGTTGTACAGGTAGTTAATGATAATTTCCTGCTATATTCCATTCGATGCCATAAATATTTATATACATATTAATTAATAAATTATAACAATAACATTTGCAAAAAAAAATATTGTTTATAAAAGTGCTTTTATGTAATTTAAATTAGTAACAATTAAAAAATGTGAACCAATGACAAATATTTCATAATGGTATCAATTTTCATAACTTTCCTTCTTGACCCAGAATATTAACTATTGAGCAACTTTAAAGATTTTTGGGTTAAAAAATTGTCTGGATCTGGATTAAATGAAATGGGGTTCACTTTTTTATAATCTTCTATATATAAACTTTTTATTTTGAAATTTAAAGTAGGCGAGTAGCCACGTCCAGCTAGAGTTCTGAAATTTTGTGTGGACAACTTTGACATCCATATGAATACTTGAGAACAAAATGCCCGGCCTAGGTACAGTGGGCGTGGTAAATACAAATAAAACAAGTATAACTGCAAAAATATAACACCTAGAGTCCAAAATTTTTTTCGGAGCCACTTTAGTTCGATATGAATATTTAAGACAAAAAATGGCTGGACTAGTAATAGAAGGCGTGGGACCTGCCATAAGAATTAAATGCAAAAATTCGCAAATCTGAGAAACTATTCGATCTAGAATCCTCAAATAGACTTTGACATCCATGTGAATATTTAGGGAATAGGGGGCGTGGTACCTTTTACATTCATTAAATACAAAAATTCGTATATCTAGTAAACTATTGCAGCTAGAATCCTCAAAGTTTCCAAAAAAAACTTTGACATCCATGTAACATTTTAAGAAAAAAAAATCGGCTGACTTGCAATAAGGGCTTGACACTTTCCCTATGATTTAAATACAAAAATTGGTATATTTGGAAAACTTTTAGAGCTATAATCTTAAAATTTTGCATGGTTAACATTAAAATCCATATAAACGTTTGGAGAATACGGGCGTACTTTCATTAAGTCGGCTCACCACCTCCTATAGCAATTATATATAAAAATTCGTCATCTGGTAATTGGAGGGTAAAATATTCCAATTTTGCATATGTAACATTGAAATCTATGTATGTATATGAACGTTTGGGAAAAACGGGTGAAGTTGCGGCTGTTGGCGTGGCATCTCCCATATGAATTAAATACAAAGGTTCGGATATCTGAAAAACTATTAAAGCTAGAATACTCAAAATCGTAAAGAGGGTTTTTTATTTGGTTTTTAGGATAGCAAAGCCCACTGGGTATAACTAGTAACATATAAAATAAAAATATATATGTATTTGTATAAATGTATAAATTTAAAATATACGAAACATTAAAATTTGACATTCTAATGGAAGCACATGAAGTGCACATATAAAACCTTTGACCCATTTTATTTGTACGTTTACTTATTACGGAAGGGAGTATTAAAATGCAAACTTGTAACGATAATTGCTATCTTCATAAAGTGTTCGTATTAAATAAGTAGTAGTGTTCGTATTAAATAAGGGTCAACTTAACTCATTGAACAGACGTTGCTGAAATTAAATCTTTTTCTTTTTTTGAATATTCAACAATAACAGCTGGTGACAGTACCACATTACAACAGATGTTGTACTTGATCTCACAAACCAAATATAAATTTGTCTCAACTGATTTTTTTTTTGTAATATCAGCATATAATACATACATATGTACATACAAATAAATGTATATGTATATATTGAATAAAACATGTAATGTAAAATAATATATTTCGCATGTATGTATGTACATTTTGTATTGTATGTAAATAGACAAATTGACATGAAAACATTCGTAAATTTGTAAAATGAGGGTATAACGTTTATTTATCAATTTAACCAAATCGATATGATTTGATGATTCTAACAGATATATTTTTTTAGGAATCGGGCTGTGAGACATTTACGAAGTTCTCATGAATTGAAAATTTAGTTTTAAAATAACTTGTATAAATTAAGATATTAATTAAAAGAATGAATTGAAAAAACTGTTTTTGGACAATTTTAGAAAGAGAAAAAAGTTTATTACCGATAATACCACTTACCCCATTATCTCAATGTCTGGTTATATTTTATCGTAAGGTTAAATTGACAGTTTTCATACAAAAAACATTTTAACCGCCAGAATATAGGTTAAACGATAACCGGAGGTGGAGTTAACGGGGCTTAGTGACAGAGACTAATTTTAGTTATACCCCTAATTTTTATATAAATAAATTTAGCTATGTAATAAGTTAAATGTCAAACATTACATAAATAAAACAAAAGAAGCACATATGCATAAATATGTGTATGTATCTACATAAAATGTGTAAAGAGGGAAAAAAGGGCATTTAAGTGACCAGACTAAATGGCAGCCAAAGAGGTAAGAAGAGGCCAATAACACAGATAACACATGTAAACATGTCTTGAAATAAATGTTGGCAGCAGAAATCACGTTTTCCAATTAAACTGGAAGCAATACTCGAATTTGGAAGTAAAACATCAATTTAAATCAACTAACCGGCCAACCATTCATTCAAGCATAAAACCAATTAATTTCATATATTTTATTTACATTAAACGATTTCAATAAGTTTATTTTTGTCCCCATAATAATTTTTAATGAAAAATTGCAACATTTCAACTGCTAACGTAAATACTTCAGATTTTAAGATCTATACAATTTGCATTTTAAATCAATTTTTCAATTTTTAATATCAAACATTGCTAAATCATTGCTAATAAGTCTTAAATTTTCACATTGATAATTATGAACTTAAACTTATGTTTTTGGGAAACTATTTTTAAACTCAGCTTTTAACTTGTTTTAACATTGTAGTACATTTGCATTTTTTCGTTTCGTTTTTTTTTTTTCTTTTAATTGCAAAGCTGTAAATATTTTTCAATTAACAGTTTTAGACTTTAGATGGCAAAACAAAATTTGCTGGATTTTAATTAAAAGTTCTTGACTTTACGATTTGTAACGACTAGATGTTTTTTTTTTTTTTTTTTTTTTGTTTAATCATAAAACCAGTTAAATACGCTATAAATATAATTTAATTTGGCCATTGAATTTAAGTGGTCGCACAATTTTCAAGGAAAATATAAAATCTGCCTGATAAAAAAAACTGTTTATAGCAAATTAATGTTTTTTTTTTTTTTTGTTCAGATGCTGATAAAAATTATTTTAGTATCATTTCAGTACTTTCATGAACACACACAGACTCCCATTAAGGTATTGAGTTGCAAAATAACTTTCAGGAAGAAACTTTTAGAAAATGGCAAAAAAAAAGCACAAAATCTATAAAATGTGCATTTATTCAATTGTTAGAAAATTTTAAAAAGAAATAAAATAAAAATAAAACAGTAACCACACGAAGTATTTTTATATTATTTGTGTAATAGAATATAGAATTTCTGCATTGTTTTCCTCTATTGTCACGTTTCAAATGCCGAGTACGTTTCTAATTTCAAACGTTAGTAAAATTTAATAGATTTAATAAACATTCAACTCTATTGTTTTAAATGTACATGTATTTAGGTTTAGAAAAATTGTTTCATTGTACAATTTTTTTTTTTTTTTTGTTTAACACCCACAATTTGTAGGGTATATTCTGGTTACATTTTATTAGGTTATCCCAGAATTTTTATATACCGTTTGAAATTTCACAAATTTTTAGTTTTGAGTCTAAAAATTCGGTCTACACTTTGGTAAAAAAGTATCCTAGATCCCCTAATAGTGTATTAAATTTAAAGTAAATTTCGATATTATGGATCGCTCCTTTAGTCATTATTATCACGGGTTTTATTTATTCGATTTATACTGAATTGTATTACTATATATCGACATTAATATAAACATCAGTACGATTTTCGAGAT